CACACTCTGACTGACAGCGGCTCTCATTTACTGTCTGTAGGCTGGAAACACACGCGTTTGAGTGCCATGCCGAATAAACCCAAGAAAGAGAAGGTGAGCCAGAGCCTCTCGTGTGTGAATGTGGAGGAAAACCCGTAAAAGTGCGGAAAATACAGACTGATCCTTCAGTCAAAGTGTCAGATTAGTTCAGCTCGAGACATTAGCATGTACGCTAACTCCAGTTTTGCTCATCGCAGTGAATTACTCACTGGCTCATAAACTTTAAACGATTTACAGCCCTGGAGGCGAAGCAGAGCACTTTAGGTGACTTCACAGGTGTATTTGTGTTCAGTTTATTTAGCGTGTGTTCAGTTTTCGTGGCGAAGCTAACTTTAGCCTGTTAGCGGAGTAATATGGATGCTTCTCGTTTATAGAAATAACGTTATTCTTTTCACCCAAATGCGTGCTGAAATGTCCAAAATGCTTTTCAATGAAAATAAATAGCATGCATTTTAATATATTTTTAGTTGGAGTCCAGGTTTGCACGTGAAATACTTACGCCGGATTGCTAATGTTAGCTGTCACTCTGAGATGGTGTGTTTTTATTAGTCAAAAATCATGCATTTCATGCTTTTAGGTGGAAAAATGTAAGGTCACTGTGTATTTTCTTTATAGGATTCACCAAAATCTGCAAAAGTGGGTAAAACAGGAGGGCAGGAGAACTCAGAGCATGAGGTAATTCAGCAAAACACACGATTTTATTTATATATTTATTTAAAATCTGCCTATATTTTGTATAATATTTTATATCTGCAATACAAATGGTAAACATGAGATGCACGTGTCTCATTCTGATCATGTGGAGGAATTATTGTAATGTAGAGATGTGAGCTGAACTGGGATGATTCAGATTACAGGATATTTCCAGGCTCTTTTTAGATATACTTGGTTAAAATTTGTGCATAGATTAAAGTTTATGCATTGATGCTTTGTAGCAGATTTATGAAAGAAAATGGGTAGTTACAGTTAGAGGATCTAAACACACTTTCTTTTATACATGCATATTAATTTTAAACCTAACATTGTGATGTTGATTAATGCAAGCATTGTGCATTAACAACCTAAACGCCTTTATAAGCTCTACTGAGCTGTAATGTAAAAAAAAGAAAAACATAAAAATGTGCAATCTTATTTCAAAATGTTAAAAAAAATTAATGTTTACAAATTTGCAAACTAATCGTAAATTGTAAAACGCGAAGATATGTTAAAAAATGTGCAGCTATTCTAAATTGTTACATAAAATATAACACAAAAATTAAAAAAATGGTTTTAAAAATGTTACCAGAAAAAAAGTAAATATATAAATGTAAAAAAGGGGAGAATATTAAAATTTGCAAAGTTGTTGTAAATTGTAAAAAAAAAAACATGAAACACAACAAATTAAAAAAATTTGCAAGCTTATTGTACATTGTTATTAAAAACGTATTTTTTAAAAACATAAAAATGTGTTTAAAACTGTGCAGCTTTATTGTAAATTGTTACCAAAAAACAATAACATTAAAGTAAAAAAAGTTTAAAAAAGGACAACAGAACTATGTTAAAAATGTTTAAAAACACAAGTTGTAAATTGCTACTTAAAAAAAACATAAAACAAAACAAAAATTGCGTAAAAACATTAAAATGTGTTTAAAACCGTGCAGCTTTATTGTACATTTTAAATTACAATTTTCAATTTGTAAAAAAAAATTGTCAATTGTAACAAAAATACAATAAAATAAAACATAAAAATGTTTAGAAATTAAAAAATTCATTTTTACATTTGCAACCTTTATTGTAAATTATTACTAACAAATATATACACTACCGTTCAAAAGTTTGGGATCAGAATGATTTTTAATATTTTTTACAGGAGTCTCTTCTGCTCATCAAGGCTGCATTTATTTGATCAAAAATACAGGAAAAAATGTAATATTGTGAAATATTATTGTGATGTAAAATAAAGTTTTTCTATTTTAATATACATTAAACTGTAATTTATTTCTGTGATGCGCAGCTGTATTTTCAGCATCATTACTCCAGTCTTCAGTGTCAC